TATGGATTTACAGGTATGATAGCTCAGGTGGCTAAATGTCCATCAGGGGGGCTAAATGTCCATCATAAAATTCTCCCGTTGTTAATATTTCCCTTGTGTGTGTACTCACCTAATTGTGGTTGCAGGGGTCGAGACTCAGCTCCTGGCCCCGCCTCTTCACTGGTCGCTACTAGGTCCTCTCTATCCCTGCTCCATAAGCTTTATCATACCTCGTCTTAAAACTATTTATGGTTCCTGCCTCCACTACATCACTTGCAAGATTATTCCACTTCCTGACAACTCTATGACTGAAGAAATTAACTTCTAACATCACTTTGACTCATCAGAGTCTTCAGCTTCCAATTGTGACCCCTTGTTTCTGTGTCCCCTCTCTAGAACATACTGTCTGTGTTCACCTTAACTATTCCTCGCTGTATTTTGTATGTCGTTATCATATCTCCACTAACCCTCCTCTCTTCCAGTGCCGTCAGGCCCATATCCCTTAACCTTTCTTAGCAGGCCATTCCCTTAGCTCTGGAACTAGCCTTGTTGCAAACCTTTGCACTTTGTCGAATTTCTTGACGTGCTTGACCAGGTGTGGGTTCCAAACTGGTGCTGCATACTCCAGTATGTGCCTGACGTACACGGTGTACATTGTCTTGAACGATTCCTTACTAAGGTATCGGAACGCTATTCTCAGGCTTGCCAGGCGCCCATATGCTGCAGCAATTATCTGGTTGATGTGTGCTTCCGGTGACATGCTCGGTGTTATGCTCACCTTAAGATCTTTCTCCTTGAATGAGGTTTGCAGTCTTTGGCCACCTAGCCTATTCTCTGTCTCTGGTCTTCTTTCCCCTTCCCCGATCATCATGACTTTGCATTTGGCGGGGTTAAATTCGAGGAACCAGTGCAGGTCTCTTTGTAGTCCTGCCTCATTAACTTTGTAGTCCTGTTCTCATTAACTTCACATCATCTGCGAACAGGGACACTTCTGAGTCTATCCCTTCCGTCATGTCCTACACATATACCAAACATAGCAATGGTCCTAGGACTGACCCCTGTGGGACCCCGCTCGTCACAGGCGCCCACTGTGATACCTCATCACGTACCATGACTCACTGTTGCCTCCCTGTCAGGTATTCTTTGATCCATTGCAACGCCTTTCCTGTTATACGTGCCTGATCCTCCAGCTTCTGCACTAATCTCTTGTGAGGAACTGTGTCGAAGGCCTTCTTGCAGTCCAAGAAAATGCAGTCAACCCATCCCTGTGTGTATGTGTGTGTGTGTGTGTGTGTGTGTGTTGTGTGTGTGTGTGTGTGTGTGATAGAGATATTGAAAGATATTGAAAGATAGATGCATAAAGATACTTGCATGCATGCATACATACATACAATAATACATAGATAGGTAGACACAGAGATAGGTATAGACAAAGAGGGAGAGAGAGAGAGAGAGAGAGAGAGAGAGAGAGAGAGAGAGAGAGAGAGAGAGAGAGAGAGAGAGAGAGAGAGAGAGAGAGAGAGAGAGAGAGGAAGAGAGAGAAATAGAGAGACGAGCCAAAAGGATGTATAACGTTCAAATAACTAATATATACTTCAGTATTTGCTTAATTAAGAATTTTTGAGTGAGTCAAATGCACTGATATTTATTTAGCTTTCAACCAAGCAAATAATTTCCAAAGAATGTACATATAATTAGACAAAAATATGAATAATGTATTTACTATGCCCAATTAACGTTTTATTAACGTCTATATACGTTTTAATTAATGAATCTAAAGTGCTTTTTCAGATTAACGACCATAATAATATTTATATATACATTCAAGTATGTATATATATATATATATATATATATATATATATATATATATATATATATATATAGATATATATATATATATATATATATATATATATATATATATATTATATATATATATATATATATATATATATATATATATATATATATATATATATATATATATATATTACGAGATGAATAGGTGGAAAATATATCTTGCCGTGCCTGTCAGCAGCAGGGAAGCGCTACACCCGTATGGATCAGGGGGTTAAGGGCGAATAAGAATATAATCAAATTTAATAATGCAGGGAGGAAGAGGGTTATGGGTAGAGGGATCGCTTTAACTCCCCTGGATCTAGAGCCCTTCACCGTGCGGAATGAGAGAGAGGGAGAGAGAGAGAGAAGAGAGAGAGAGAGAGAGAGAGAGAGAGAGAGAGAGAGAGAGAGAGAGAGAGAGAGAGAGAGAGAGAGAGAGAGAGAGAGAGAGGAGAGAGAGAGGAGAGAGAGAGAGAGAGTTACTGTGTAACAATGACCTGAGAGCGATTTACCGCGAGTTATATTGACTTTAGTCCGAATTATCTTGTTGAATATAATTATTTTTTTACCGCTCGTAATGAAGTTTGAAATTAATGTCATAAGCTTCTCTTACACAGTTCCTTCTCTCTTTTTTACGTCTACTTATGCTTTAAAAATATTCTTTGTTTATCAAAGTGCGTCCATAAGTGCTTCATTTATTATTATTATTATTATTATTATTTATTATTATATTATTATTATTATTATTTATTATTATTATTATTATTATTATTATTACTATTATTATTATTATTATTATTATTATTATTATTATTATTATTATTATTATTATTATTATTATTATTATTATTATTATTACTATTATTATTATTATTATTATATTATTGCTGTTATTATTATAATTATTGATAAATTTGACACATGTGCAACTCTTGGGTATCTTTATTGAGGAAACGTTTCGCCACACAGTGGCTTCATCAGTCCATACAAAGGAGAATCTTGAAGAACAGGAGAAGAATGAGGTAATCAGTCCCTCAACCTTCAGTCGATGTGTTCATCTTGAATAGAATAGAATGGTATTCTATTCAAGATTGATGGACTGAACACATTGACTCAAGGCTGAGGGACTGATTACCTCATTCTCCTCCTGTTCTTCAAGTTTCTCCTACGTATGGACTGACGAAGCCACTGTGTGGCGAAACGTTTCCTCAATAAAGATACCCAAGAGTTGCACATGTGTCTAATTTATCAACATGTCGGTTCTCTGAACCATTCACCTATTATAATTATATTATTATTGTTTTACTGTTATTATTATTATTCAAAACGAAGCAGTAAACCCGTGTGGTTCATAGCAGTAAAACGTCTGCCATCTACCTTCCACATATACCATGAGAAACTTTACTATGAGCCTATGGCACTGGACAAGCACCTAAAGTCGGTTCCTGACCAGCCGGGCTGCGGCTCGTACGTTGGTTTGCGTGCTGCGCAAACGCTGGTTGATCGCTCTGATCACCGGAGCCTAGTCACAGACCGCCGGGGGCTTGACCCGGAACTCTCTCGGGTAAACTCCAGTATGGGTACATGGTAAGGAATTAGGCTGTCGACTAACTCCAGGGAGTCAACAGACGGTCATGGTAATGAAATTTGAAGGCTGTCGACTACTCCAGAGTCAGCCGGGACTGGTCATGGTTAATGAAATTTGAAGGCTGTCGACTACTCCAAGAGTCATGCAGACTGGCTCATGGTTAATGAAATTTGAAGGCTGTCGACTACTTCAAGAGTCATGCAGACTGGCTCATGGTTAATGAAATTTGAAGGCTGTCGACTACTCCAAGAGTCATACAGACTGGCTCATGGTTAATGAAATTTGAAGGCTGTCGACTACTCCAAGAGTCATGCAGACTGGCTCATGGTTAATGAAATTTGAAGGCTGTCGACTACTCCAAGAGTCATGCAGACTGGCTCATGGTTAATGAAATTTGAAGGCTGTCGACTACTCCAAGAGTCATGCAGACTGGCTCATGGTTAATGAAATTTGAAGGCTGTCGACTACTCCAAGAGTCATGCAGACTGGCTCATGGTTAATGAAATTTGAAGGCTGTCGACTACTCCAAGAGTCATGCAGACTGGCTGCCACCTGTTCAACACCATTCGAGAATATTTAATCCTTTGTGTATTAATTAAAGAAACAGCATATATTCACTGACTTTTAGAATTAACCTATTTTTTCTTCTTTTTTTTTTTTGTAATTTAACCACTCCCCTTTGCCTCCTAGAAATTAACACCGCCCTCTTCTCTAAATATTTTTTTTTCTAATCAATAAATTTACCTTCCTGCAACTAATTAATCCCATTTCCATTTCCCGAATAAATCTGTTTTCCTATTCCCAAATTTCTTTTCAACAATTAACCCCTTTGCTTATTTTCCCCCAGATTTTGAGTTTTGCTTCTCGACGTCTCCTTTTCCAATTCTCAAATTAACCCGCTTTTCTTTTCTCATATGTATTCCTTTTCCTATTACCAAACTAAACTCTTTTCCAAATTAACCATTTTGTTATTCCCAATTTAACACATTTTCTTTATCTCAGACTAATTTCCCTTTCCTTAATCAGTCCATTTTCATATTTCCAAATTTATCCCTTTTCTAGAATTAACCATTTTTTTCCAAATTTACCTGTTTTAATCTTGTTAATTAACCAGGTTTCTCATTCCTTTTCCAAATTAAATCCCTCTTTTTCAGAATTATTCCTATTTTCACGAATTTTTTGATTCTCAGATTTAGCCCCTTTCCTTTAACAAATTAACCCCCTTTTTCCTATTCCTTAAATAACCCCTTTTCCTGTTCTCAGAATTAACATAAGAACATAAGAAAGAAGGAACACTGCAACAGGCCTACTGGCCTATGCGAGGCAGCTTCAGTTCTCCCACCGGCTCACTGACTTGACTCAGTGAAGTCAGACACGTCACTTAAGGGAGGAGCATTGCATCCGACCTAGAAGCACAAGTTAGTCAGGTCCAACTCACACCCACCCACACCTACTCGTGTATTTATCCAACCTATTTTTAAAACTACGCACAATTATCCCTTTTCCTGTTCTCAAATTTACGCTTTTCATGATTTATCCCTTTTTGCGTTATTCTCAAATTAACTCCTTTTACCTGCCTCTTCTCCCTCAGGTGAGTGGTGTGGTCAACAACACCGGCCACAGTGTTGTCTTCACCGTGGATGAAGACACCGAAGACCAGGCTTCCCCGGGCTCAGTGGGCGGCCTGGGCGGCGGGAGCCTCAACGTGGGCGGCTCACTCGGCAGGACGATGGGCGGCGACGGGATGGGCGGCCTGGGCGGCCAGGAGGACCACCTGATCGGCAGTGTGTACGCCCACAGAGGGCACCGCCACAAGAATCCGCCTCTGAACATCACCGGAGGTCCTCTGTCTTACAGATACAGGGTGAGTAGTGCTTTGCCCTCCCTAGGGTGAAGTGCTTTACTCCCAGGGTGAATGGTGCTTTCGTCAGGTGTGTGCTTACCCGGTAGTGGTGCTTTGTCCAGGGTGAGTGGTGCTTTACCCTAGGGTGAGTGATAGTGCTTCTAAGGGTGACCCAGGGTGAGGGTCTAGAGTGATTGCTCTGCTATTGAGTAGGGTGAGGTGTCACCGTGTGAGTGGTCACGTTGAAGTGTCACCAGTGTGAAGGTGTCACCGTGGAGGGTCACCGTGTGAAGGTGTCCCGTGAAGGTGTCAGCGTGTGAAGGTGTCACCGGTGAGGTGTCACCGTTTGAAGGTGTCCCGCTTGAAGGTGTCATGTGAATGTCACGTGAAGGTGTACGTGTGAAGGTGTCACCGTGTGAAGGTGTCACCGTGTGAAGGTGTCACCGTGTGAAGGTGTCACCGTGTGAAGGTGTCACCGTGTGAAGGTGTCACCGTGTGAAGGTGTCACCGTGTGAAGTGTCACCGTGTGAAGGTGTCACCGTGTGAAGGTGTCACCGTGTGAAGGTGTCACCGTGTGAAGGTGTCACCGTGTGAAGGTGTCACCGTGTGAAGGTGTCACCGTGTGAAGGTGTCACCGTGTGAAGGTGTCACCGTGTGAAGGTGTCACCGTGTGAAGGTGTCACGTGTAAAGTAAAAATATATAAAATCTAATTTGAAGAACCAGTGTCTTAAAAATTAACTTTTTTTTCCAGTAAAATAATTAATATTAATAAACTAAACAATTAATATTGGTAAACATCAATAATAATTTAATAAATTAATAAACGAACATACAATCACACTTAAATATATCAGGTAAATAAATAACTGAATATATAAATGGGTAAATAATTATGTACAATGTTCATTTAACTAATGGTTATAATCATAGATATAATTTTTAAAGAGGTGGAGAGGTGAGCCCGCGTAAGGCCTCGGTCAGATGGCCAAAAGCTCGAGCTGTGGATCATCATATGACTAAGACCAGCTTTAGGAAACACTTGTCCTGTTTCCTGCCATAAAAATTCTTTAGTTAAAAAAAATGGGTCACTTACATGATTAAAATCTGTGTCTTGACAAATATTCAAATAAAATCAATTAAATAAATAATGAAATAAGTAATAAGTGGATAAATATATATAAATAAACAGTCCCAGGTGAAACTCCGCCTTTGAAAACACGCAGCAAATGCATTTCTTGAAGCCTCAGGAAGGATAAACATAATTTCGAACACAAAGAAGGTCAATATCCACCATGGAGTCCTTGGAAGCCTCACTGAAACAGAATTCATGAACCAATTTACGTTTTGAAAGTCACATAGGTATTTCCCTTCCCCCCTCCCCTCCCCTTGTGTTGGGCACCAGCATCCAGCCGTTTGAGTTCGGCTGGTATATATATCGCTTTCTGATTGAACGCTGCAAAATCTATGAAGGTTGGAATCGAATTGACGTTTGAGAATGTAAACATTGTGGTCAGCCGCAGGTTTCTAGTGGTTAACCGACTGGGTGTTTTTTTTTTTTTGTCTTGTTTAATATTTTGAGATGGCTGGGTGAAATATGTGACTGAGAATCGGAATAATTTTTTTGTGTGTGAAAAGTCGGACTGTCTCTCCTGAGAGACTGTGTGTCTGTCTGGTCTCTCATCTCGCTCAGTCGGTCTCGTCTATTTTGATTGTCTGTTAAAAAAAAAAAAGCTTTTCAAGACATATTGGTGGGTATAATATATTGTCAGGATACAGGACAAATGTTTTTCTGGGAGCGGACGTCTTTGTCATATGAGACCACAGCTAGTTTTGGTCATCTGACCGAGGCCTTCCACTGCTGACAACCCTCCACCTTTTTAAAAATCATTGCTATATTATAAACTATTATATTTTTTGTGCTGTTGCTGCTAAGACAAATATTATAGTAAGGGTATTATTATTATTATTATATTATATTATTATTATTTTATTAGTAGAGTAGTAGTAGTAGTAAGTATAGTATGTTATAGTAGTAGTATATTCAGTTAGTGGTAGAGTAGTAGTACATAAGGTATTACTGCTATTATTATAATTATTATTATTATTATTTTATTATTAGTATTATATAGTAGTAGTAGTAGTAGTAGTAGTAGTAGTAGTAGTAGTAGTAGTAGCAGTAGTATTACTGCTATTATAATTATTATTATTATTATTATTATTATTATCATTATCATTATCATCATCTATACAATGAATGCTAAACCTGTGTGGGTCGTACAGCGTTGCAGGTTATATATGGTTGCGTTGGTTCTCTCGAAGGCTGGAGCAGCCCACCGCAGCGTGTGTGTGTGTGTTAATATGTAATGTTTGTGTACACAGTGCAGGAACTACCCAGCTACAAACGAGATGTTATTCAGTTTTTTGTATCTTTTTACTTTTAAATGAGTTGTGTTCCTGCTTCTTTGGACTTAAAAATGAGTTGTGTTCTTGGCATTTCGATTGCTTGGTTGACGAGGGCTTTAAAAAAAATTATAACTGCACTAGGTAATTATTTCTTGGCGTTACCTGTTGTACCATATCTAAAATTAGGATTAATGTAAAGTCAGCGTACGTACAGTAAGAAACATGTATGTATCTTGTTTTTTCCCGGTTAGTTAATTTAAAATTCGTCAGCACAGAGTCCTGACACGGGTCTTAATCAAGAGACAACCCGTCTATTGTGTTAATTCCGTCTTCAAAAGAGTTATTTGTTTGTTAGTACTGAAGTTACTGCTTCAGTTCTAACTTTAAGGAAGAACAAGCTTTACTGTGAAGACGTTTCGCTCTTTGCTGAGTTTTATTAATCAAAATGTGATGAAACTCTACACAGAGCGAAACTTTGTGACAGTAAAAACTTGCTCCGGACCTTCGTTTTTCCTAGTATGTTTGTCGACAGCACCTTTGTGCATCTTGAACACTGGGAAAAAAAATTAATGTTGGTCCTTGGAGTGTTTGACAATAAATTATAGTTAAAAAATGTCCAATATTAAGTGAAATCTGCGACAGGGATGGTTTTATGTTGTACAAATGAGATAAAAAAAATGACCTAGTAAATCCTAACCTGACCCAACATAACCCAACATAATCTGAAGTGACAGAATCAACCCAACTTTCTCTGTTATCAGCAGAAATGAAACTGTTGCTGTGGCTGACCAGGTGCGGTGACTAACCAGGTGCGGTGACTGACTAGGTGCGGTGACTGACTAGGTGCGGTGACTAACCAGGTGCGGTGACTGACTAGGTGCGGTGACTGACTAGGTGCGGTGACTAACTCAAATACTAACTTCTGGTTGACCTTGAAGGTGTATTCAAGCCAAAATGAAAGTATGAAATTATTAGTTTTGCAATTATTTCCCAGAATTAAAGTTTTGCTTAAGAAATAACAATTTATTCCGTGGTTTAGGTAGGTTGTTAGTGCCATGACGTATACAATAACGGCCGAGTTTTGACGAGGACTAAAACTCTGATTGTCGAGTGGCTCGACTGCGTAAATAAGGCGGCATTTGTTAGTACTACGAGATCTTGCTTACCTTCACATTCTTGCAGCCAAGGTCATGCACAACGAGGATATTCCTTCATGCAAGTCGTATGACAGAGAATCTTGCTAGTCCCAGTCACAAGTCCTACGATGCATGAGATATAAATAGATTCACTCACGGATCACTTTATCTATCAAATGTAGCTCTCAGTTTCCCTGTATTCAGACCCGTCCACGCGCTCACCACACAGCAACAAGACCAATCACTATTGATGCTGCTGTACAAAGGCGGGAGCCACTAATCAATCTGTCGAGCATGCAGCTCTAACAACAGCATTTCCTCGACATAAATTTAGACTAGTCTATTGTATCATCTTCTCTTGCCATGAACAGGGAAAACCAGAAGGAATCGTATACGTAATGCGTTGACCACCCCACTGTTATTTCTCCTCCATATTCCGCTTTCTAGAGTATTCATCTTCGTTTTTTTCTACCGTTTTGGGTTTCCAAACACGTCACTAAATAAATTTAAGCATCTCTGTAGTGGTGCCTTTAAGTGCCTGAGTTTTTTATACCTCTGACGTTTTCGATAACCTGAAAACTCCTAATTTGACCGGTTTAAGATATTTAAGGCGGTTGTAGTGCAACAAGAGAAAGATTTATGGAGCTGTTGATAAGTGTGCAGGTCCCGTTCGGTTGTACAGATTCCGGATCTGCTTTATGTATGATGATCTGAGAAAATCTACTCGAGAAAATCTGTTCTGATTGGCTTCAAACTTTCAACACAGGTGTATCTTAATTAGAAAAAAAAGTTCGAGAATGTTATTGGAGTGATAATTTGTAATTTTATGTGCTAATTTGCCAATTCTGTGCTAATTTTCCAATTTTATGTGTTATCTGCCAATTTTATGTATAAATTTTCCAGTTTTATGTCCTAATTTACCAATTTTATGTCTTATTTGCCAATTTTACTTTAAGAAAGCCATTTTTTTGCTTAATAAATTAAGGTTACCTTGTCTGAGTAACTTAAATCTTTAATGGCTGGTGCATCTTAAAGGTTGGTGTCCATAAGATGATTTTTGGATGCAAAGTGACTAATTTTATAACTTAACAAACTTGGAATCATTAGATCCACAGTCACTTCCTATGAAGATGACTGTGGATCTAACGATTCAAACACAGGTTGACGGATTAAAGCAAAATTAATCCCCAGACCCTGATGACCTTGATTCAAGGATTCCTAAAGAAGGTAACTAGTTGCTAATCTCATTGATGAAACTAAGACTTCTAGTTTTCGCGTGATAACTTGCTAATGTATACTGCACTCTGAGCTCTCTCTTCCACGTGTATGGAGATAGAGGCAGTGGCGGACCTGCATTTTTTGGGGCCCTGAAGCTTGTACTGTTATTGGGGCCCCTTTGCAACCAGCAATGGGTAGCCTACATAATACTTTAATAACTTTTTAATATTTAACTATTGTTTTTTTTTAAACCCGTTTCATAC